TGAACAGGTCGCGATTTACTGTTGGCGAGAGAGATTGTTAGGACAAGGTGCTTTTTCTGATCCAGGCAAGGCGAAAGATGCTGCCGACAAGAGAGAGTGGATGCGGGGAGGGCAGGAAACGAGCCTCCGACAGAGCCAGGCAGACGAAACTGTACTCAGTGCGAAGGCGCGGGGGCTGGAGAAAGGTATGGAGGGGTCGTGAACAAGCGGTGGTAATCGTACCGAGTAAGAGACTGTTGGGTAGAAGTCAACGGAATTTGGTGGGCTCAAGGGGAAGAAAGCAAGTCGTCCTCGGGTTGCCGCGATCGAAGAAAAATTGGCTGCGAAGAACGGGTAAACTCAAAGCTTCGATTGGAGGAGGGCTTGTCGGACTGAGGGGTTATCTCGCTGTCAGTTGTGTACGCAGATGGGTAGGTAGGTAGGATATGCAGCGGACAGGAGGACAGCGCAGCAGGTCCAAGGGAACAAGAGACCACGAAAAATACCGAGAGTGGTAGGTTTGTGGAGGAGAGGGAGGGGAGATTTTGTGCGCCTGTCTGTGGAAGGGGGAGGAAAAGGTTACAAGAATAAAATCTGAGGCCCGAGTTTTTTTTTTGTGAATGAATTTTTTTTCCTCTCGGGAAAGCCACTACCTACCAGGTTGGCACTTGAGGTAAAGGTGGAGGCAGCTTGTCGACCTGACTTTTTTTTATTTTTTTTTTATTTTTTTTTTTAGCGGGGAGGTGGGAGGGGAACACAGAGGGTAGTGAACGGTGCCAACAGTGACAGCGACTTGGACTTTTTGACCGTGACAGACGGACAGAAATGACTGACTGACTGAGTGACTGGCCTGTGGTATCAGCCTGGCTTGGGCGGGAAGGGACCTAATACCGACCTGGGAGCGGAGAAATAGATTTTTCCCTGGTACTACACGCCCACGGGGAAGTCAGGAGTGCGGAAGAGCATGGTCAGGTCAGGCAATGTAATTAATTCACCGTATTGAATTCCTGGACAAACAGACGGACTCAGGTCAGGTCATCAGGGAACCTGGAAGGCCGGGGGAAATGGAACCTACCTAAGGTAGGTAGGTAGGTACCTACCTTACCTGCCCGGGGACCACACCTACCTACCACCTGAGGTACCTAACCGCAGTCACTCCGGCGGGCGGAAGCCTCTGAGGGTGACTGCCCGGGCACACGGAGGTCCAGGCCAGCGCTGAGGTTTACCTGCATACTACCTCCTCTCAGGTGCCTACCTAGGTAGGTAGGTAGGTAGGTAGGTAGGTAGGTAAGGTGCGCCGCCCTTGGGGGCGCATTTGGGGTGCATACCTACCTAGGTACATGGTCGGGTAGGTAAGGTAAGTAGGTAAGGTATGCCCTGTACTTAAGGTACGCCTCAGGCTGCCCTGCTATCGCCCCTCCTCCCTTTCTCCTACCTACCCCTCGCTGCGCTGGAGGGAAGTTGGTGAAATATTTCTGCAATTCCCTACCTACTGTTGCCCGTCCCTATTTGCTCAGTCTCGTACCTCTCTCTGCATCCTGCCCATCCTCCGACGGACGGCTGTGACCTTCTTCTGCATGAGTCCACAAAGTTTCCTCTGGCTTCGCGGCGGCCGTGGTGGGGATGCGCGATATAAGTCGCGATGGCTTGTCTCCCAAGGCTTTTCCCTCTCCTCATCTGTCCCGTTTGTGTGGCCCCCAGCTCGCGGCCTATTCGCTCGTGTGCCGTATGGAGATGCGATGCAAGTGCTACCAGACTTACAGATGCAAAGCACCGCACCGCACCGCATCGCAACGCAATGCGCCAACCGAGCGGGCAGATGGGGTTTCGACAAAAATAAAAACGGGCCCTGTCTTGCCTTACCTTACGGATGCGTTGCTGGCTGTCCTCCCCCTCGGTTCCTGCTGGCGTCATGGGGCATCTATCTACTCATGATCTTGTTGTCGGCCTACTCCCGACCGCCGGACGCCAACGGAAGATGAAAAGCACATCTCTTCGTTGCGGGATCGTGATGCCTGAGAAGAGTTCGCCCTCATTTTTGCTTCATACCATGCCAAATTGTACCGACTTCATATGCATTGCTGCAGCCCCCGACTGGTTGTGTAGATGATACCCCAGTCAAGTGACGGGTCGGAACCTGGTTCGAAAATACGTACCTTCTTCGGAGGAAATGCAGATCCAGAAGCCCGTTGAACAAATCCAAATCCCCTCGGCCGCCACACGCCAACAACATCTCAGGGCTGAGGGCTGGATTTGTGTCCACCCTAAAGCGGCATACCCTGACCAGCCTCGGATCCCGTCATCCATAAATCCATTTACCGCGCCATCTATTCGTCCATCCTCCACTCGACACTCGACATGGCCGAAAATACTGGGTGGGAAGAAGAGGAGAAGGGAGGATAACCGCGGCTATGGGACCCTGGCCTGGCACACTGCATCAATTATTATTATTATTTTGTCCTTCTTTTCACTTTCCTTTCTTACCCGACTCCAGCACCCGCCCGACTCCGTTCATCGCACTTAAATTACCTAAAACCGTCTCGTCCCTGATGTGATTAACTGATGCCCTCTGTCATGAATTGCGAATGTGCTCGTTTGGTTCTGTTGTCAGCAGCACCTCAAGACCGCAGACATAGTCAAGCACATAGTACTCAGCGTGTCTGCAACACAGCCACATTAAGCGGACCCAGAAGTTCACGACGGCCATAACTCATGAATAGCTGCAAACCGAGGTATAATATATAGTAAGGTATAGATATAGAAAAGGACTAAGTAACCCTAATAGATATAACCTAAGGTGTGAATATAGAAGTATTATACTTAGTACTAGAAAATATAGAGGTTTTTAAGAGAAATAAAGATAAAGTAAATAAAATATAAATAACTTTTCTTCTACTATAGTAGTTTTAGTTACTAAAGTTATAAAAAGTCTATTTTATATAAAGAGAGTAATAGTAAAATAAATAGTTAATATTTTCTATTTATTAAATAATACAATAATAAACTAATAATTTAATAGTTTTAATAATATTTCTAATTTAGAAAATACTATGTATATTAGCTTTTTAGGAATTATTAAAAAATATAAAGACTATAATTAGAAGTATAAAAGTTTTTTATAAATATTATTAAGTTTAATATTAAAAATACTATTAATACATTTACTTTTAATATTAATTTCTAAAAATAAACTAAATTATAATAAATAAACTAAGAAATATAAGCTCTCTTTTATATTTATAGAAATTACTAATAAAAGAAGATAAATCAAATAGAGTATAAATTTACTAAAGTTCTTTAAAGTAATAAGTATACTACTTATAGAGCTACTTTACTAAGGATTTTATTAATTACTTAGATTATATAAAGAAAGTAGGATAAAAAGCTAAGGGATAAAGTAGTATACTAAGACTAATATAAGAAATTTAAATAAATAATAGGCCACTTATACCCCAGGGTGGGGGGAGGGTGAATGGCTGCAAACCGCCACTATAGCCGCAGCAGAAGCCCTGTCTAGACCCCGTGCCGTGCTTCTCCAGTGCTTTCCTTGTTGGATGGACCCTGGCTTTGAAGGATCGGCTTGCCGGCCGTCCAAGCAGGAAGAGGAGTGCTTCACTAAATGTGCGAAAAGACATGGGTGTCTTGAGGCGCCCGCATTATCTAAGGTAATTTGCAAACGAGACCTGCAACTTCGAGTATCTCGGACATGGTCGACACAAGCACCCGACATCCTATGCCAGCTAAAGCAAAACGTCTTCCTGACTAGCCATTCCCGTCTCCAAGTTTCCCAGTAACCACCCAGCTCGCTCGCCCCCTTTTAGTTCCTTGCACAGTCTACTTGTAGTCATTGGACAACGTATCTGGCAACGTACAAGTTACCGATGGCCATCTAATCCGAGAGACAACCTTCTCTGCCTCAGCTCAGTATTTCAGCAACAACTGACGCTAGCCCGTTGCTTCCGCTGACTGGTGCAAGGAGTCCCGCTTCGGCCTTCCAGACACCTCTTGAGAAAGCGCGCAGAGAAGGCGGGACGGGTGTTGGAAGTCAAAGGATCCTTCCTTTCGGGACAGAATGTGCGGTGGTCCGCACAGCGTCGTCGTTGCGGAAAGCCGGCCGGTCCCACCACACTTCGGCCAACTAGGCGGCATCATGAAGAGGGCAAGGACAAGAAGATGGACAAAGCAGGAGAAGAGCAAAAGCCGCAGTCACAGCTTGATTTATGCAGTTAATTCTGAATGTACCCGTAAATCCGTCGTTTTAGCTCTGCGTTTCTCTGCCGGTGCCGTTAAAAGACACAGCACGGCACATGCGCCTCCAGACGCGTCCCGACAACGAAGCTAGCCCATCGCCCAAGGCTATTCGTATATCTTATCGGCACAGCTCCAACATTTCTCCTCACATGTTCGTTCTCCACAACCAGATCCCTGTGGATTTGGGAATGGGATAGACTGACTCGGCCCCCGAACGTTCCTGGACGTGCCGAATTTGCCCGGCTACTGAAATTCCCACCCACGCCTATTTGATTGTATCTGCAGCATCTACGGGAAGATGTTGGGATGCCGACATCAACACCAATTTTCTTCTGCCTGGTTGGGGGGATCCCTCCCGACTTCTCGGCATTTACCAAACTGCAGCCATCTGTCGATTATTGTCGTGCCACCATAGGTTTGCGAGGAACTTTCCCAGGAAAGAAGGCACATAAACGACTACCGCGCTACGAGTCTCTATAACTCGTAGGCTCACTATATCCGTCCGTAGTTTTTATATTATGACATTGAGATACGGGATGGGCAAGCTTGCTGTCCTCAGGCGCAAGTCCGAACGGTGAAACCTGGGAGCTAGACCCGCGGTGGCTAGAAACATCAAATACAACAACCGAGTTGAACTTGTGTTCGCCATAATGCATGCCACGAAATTTGCAGAAATGCGCCAGACATCAACCTGTTATTCATCGCGTAAGTTGAATTATTTATCCATTGATCGGAGAGTTTTCGATTGCAGCTGACAGCCCAAGCGCGCACTATAGAACTACGCGGTATTGCAAATCATTTAGTGGTCAGGACCTTTTTCAGCCCGACATCCATGCCGCTGCCCTCCTCGCCCCAAACGTGGTGGCAAGGCGCAAGCCACTGGAGCCCATTGGAAAATAACTGACTAAATACCACAACAAACAGGCCAGCTGAATCAGCGCCGAGATCAAGGTCAGGAAAGTGCTGTGCAGCTATTATGGATCGTTAGTGAAGTCAGCAGTGGAGTAAGGCGCGGTAGAAACTTACACCCAGTGAGAAGTAGAGAGAAAGCCCCAAGGATCCAAAGTAGGCCGCGGTGAAGGGCAGGCGAGGACCGGAGATAAGATGCTTCGCATAAGCCGTTAGGCCCATCATGGCCGCAAAGGACGCCAGGAACAAAAGAGAGCCAAGAGTCCATCTAAGAAGTTGAATCATGTTAGCAACCCATGGACATATTTTAAATACCATCAAAAACAGATCCAATTCTTGATAAAGCACTAGTCACGCCGTCCTGACACCGGGTGAGGTGCTCGAAGACCTAGTTCGCCATGCGAGATCATCTGGCATAGAAGGCGGGAAGATGCAGAGTCGTGAAAACCCCCCACCAGGCGATGTTGTGTCCCGATCCAACCACCTCACGTCGATCTGCCGCGCCGGCAGCTAGCCAGGCTGTGCAGACACACGTGGGGTTTGAGGGGCCCGGATGGCAGATCAGGGAAATGTCGAGGCTGGAAACTTACAGAATTACAAACTTGCGCGGCCGCAACGACAGCACTGGGAACAGGGCGAAGCAGATGACGAAGCAGGCAAGTGCACCCAAGTTGCAGGCTCCAAATATGAGCAAACGGTCCCATCGACTCACTAGGAAACACAGCTACGTCAGTTTATCTGGTAAGAAGGAACAGAAGGACGCATGGAACTATAACCTAGCACCCAGCCTGTTCACATGGCAAACCAAGACACGAGTACAGGGCTATGGTGTACACTAGCTGCAGGGGAGTTCGAGCTTGGCCCAAGCTGTGCAAGGAGGAGGTATGGAGATGGTGACTCACGCGTTGCGAACCCTTCTTCCTCTTCTCTCCTGCTAGCAGCAGGCAGAGGTGCGCCGGCTCCCTCGGTGGTTGGAAGTTGTATGTAGCTGTTGTTTCCGAAAGGATTCAGCGACTTGATGGACGACATGAGGCCGCTCTGTTGCGCCGTATTCACAGGCACGTCCTGATCACGTCGTGACCAGCCGAGGGAGTTGATCGAATCCCTAAATGATGAGGAAGCCATGGTTGGAAGGTTGCTCAGAGTCGCAAAAGACAAGCGATGACGCAAATGGTGCAGGTAGCGTCCGCTCAATCAGTCTCGGATAGACAGACAGGTGGGCGCAAAACGGCGGGGTGTTTCTTCGACTTCGAACACAGTATGTGGTCAAGTGACGGGTTTTCGAATACCAGAACGTGTTCGATAGTCGTTTCGAATGTCGATTGTAATTGGGCGAAGGGCGGCGTCGGGGTCGTCTCCGTTGCTGCTGCTGGAGGGGGGGAGTAGACGAGTGGGATAGCGCGACAGCTGGACGGTCGGGAAGCTTTCTCCACAGTCAGAATGGCCAGCTTGATTGATATACTGGGCAGTAGCAGAAGGGAGGGTCGGAGAGCGCGTACGACGGACTGCAGGATGACCACCTGTTCGAGTTATGATGCGACGTAGGCTGAATTCTGGAAGCCTAGTGTCCGCGCGTACCGCACCGCGTCGTCGTCGCAACGCAGGTCGAAGACGAGAGCGGCAACGTTGGAATCGAAATGGGGGGTTGGAAAGGAGTTGATGCAGCAGCTGGAACCCACGGGGAGGAAAGGCAAGCAAAGGTTGGAAGGTAGATAGATGTCTGCACCCGGGAGAGGAAGAATGGTAAGCTTGGGAGTGTGTCAGAATGCTGCGCAGGCGGACACCTGTAGTTGGAGGTTCCCGGTGTTGCGAGTTCAGGAGGCCAATCAACGGCAGCAGCCTTCCGCAGCTCGGCCTCGCGGTACGTATCTCGCTTTCCCCAATGAGACTGGACGCCACTCAAAGACGTTATCGGGTCTCTCTGGGCTCTAAGTGCTCTAATCCATCGCACATGATTGGCAGCCTGTTTCACCCTCACCACCCTCCAAGGTCCACTGGCGGTTGCATCCTTTACAGACTCAAGCGGGCTGGGAAGACGGACTGGTGACAGTGATCCCCCGTCGCAGCTCCGACATTTGCTGGCAGCCGTGCATACCTTGCGTACCGTAATACTGTGGAAGAAAGCAGACCAGACATAGATTTGAGTTCGGTGCCCGGCATGGAATGATACATGGCGATAGGCCTGGCCTTGGAGTGTGGGCGAGTGCAACCCCCTCCTCAAAGCATACTATCGATACATCACGTATCCGTACCATCGACCGACTTTTCTCTCAAGGGCGGCATTGTTAGAGATAATCATTCAAGGCGGTGAAGCTTGAACGTGCCGCGCCCGCTTTTGACCGCCCACGAGTCTTCCGCTTTTTACATGATGCCATCGATGGTTTTGCTGTACACGAGTACACAAGCTCTCCAAGTCAACCAAGGTCAATTGTACAGGATATCGTCCTGTCAGCAGCGGTGTCCGAGGCTGCATGGCATGGGTAAGGTGTTTTCTGGCGGAGGAAACTGGTTTCTGAAGGGGCAATGTGAATGAGACAGAATCCCATAATCGAGTCCAAGGCATTTTAAGGCGTTTCTTGCTTCCCGGGTTCCTGGCCGACACGTCTGAGAGCTGTGGATAGGCCCGTCCTGGCGAATTCGTGATGTGTTTGATTGTGGCCGGCCTAGACACTTTGAACGGCATGACCACTTAGTCTTGGCCGATCATTAAGCAGGTCCCGATGGGCGTCGCGAGTCGCCGCGGCCGGCGCGGGAACAGTTGGTGTCTTAATGTCTTAGCTGGCTGACTGGGGGGATCACGGGGTCCGGCCGGTCGCCTCCTTCGCCCCCCTCCCCTCCCCCGGGTGCCCTCCATCAAGTCCCGATTGCGCCCAAGAAGCAGCGAAAAGGCTCCGGCGAGAAATGGTGAGGTGTGCCACCCCCGGATTATGGGACGAGTCAGGAGATGTTGGTGAAGTGACAGGCTTCGACCAGATGATGTAGTGGCTATTAGTAGAAACCAGCATTGATATAAATGCTAGCGCGATTCCCTTCAGCGACCGAGGGAGAGGATGAGGAAAGAAGAGACAATCTCCCGAAAAACACCACTTCTTCGACAGAGAGCAACGACGACCCGACCGGGCAGCAGGCAAAGAGAAGGTACGTTCGTTCAAGAAATGATTCAGAGAAGGGCAAGGATTGCAGAGTTGTCGTTGACACGATTCAAAGCATCAGGAAGACACATCAACTCCAGCCACTCACCAGATATTGATCCAATGCCTCCGGGGTTCTGGACTTTATGCACAGACCACCACACCGCATCGAGTGCTAAGGTACATAAGTAGCCCAGTACAGTCCACCTTACCTAGCTAAGGTACCTACCTAAGGTACCTAGGCAGCGAGAGACAGACCGAGCGACTTACACGCTGCGCGACGCTGGGAGCCAGAGAGTGACGGAATCAACTGAAGCGCTGGCAAGCTGGGCTGGAACAAGATCACCACGTCAGAAAAAAAGTCAAGAAGCTCTGAAGACGCCACGACGGTGCACTTGGAGTTGACTTTGGACCAACGTTAATTGAGCGAACTGTCCTGTCCGACACAGCCGCCGGGTCAGGTCCCAACCTCCTCCCGCCTCTTCTTGGAGACGTCGCTCCGGCGTCCCGTCACCATCGGCGTCGCCTTCACCTCCACATCTACCTGCCTGGCCTTAGGTTCTCCACTGCAGGCCAACCTGTATGCCCGTCGGGCCAAAGACCAGCAAACTCAATTTCAGCGGCAGTCCCGTCTCCTGTAAGATCAACATCAACGTCAACACCAAAACTGCCGCCGCCCCGGAAGACACAGCTTGCGCAGCGCAGACAACATCAATAAAAATAACACCCGGCAGGAATCACCACACGCGCACTGCATCTCTGACCCGGATTCCGACCCCGATCTCAAACCCCATTTATTACGTCCCGTCACCGAATTGAGGAGCGCCTATCACAAACAGCCCCCAACGTCCAACCAAGTACGTACTTATTTCTCCCGTGTCTTCCAGTCTTCCATGCAGTCGTTGCCCTCGGAGACTTGACGCAAGGCTGGCCAAGTATCTCCCTCCCGTCGAAGCAGATAGCTCTGCTCTGCCCTGCCCTGCCCTGCCTTTTGCCCTGCCTTTTGCCCTCCCTTTTGCCCTCCACTGCACTGCAAAGTACATACGGATAGCTCGTCGTACGCTGGAACCGCAACCCCAGTCCATGCTCACCCATCCATCCTTCGCTCCCCCTACCGTCACGACTCAGCCTCAGAGCCGCTTGTTCCGCCAACCATCTATTATACTTGGCCATGTACTCTGGCTTCTGTTCGGCTTGAGTGGTCTTTCTCTCCTTCTCCCCGTTTCTCCCATACCCCTTCAGAAGACGCGATATCTGACTGGTCGCAAGACTGCTGCTGGATCCGTGGTCGCACGCCCCACGGTGTTGCCCGCGCATTAACACCATCTCGTCCCAAGTACGTCGCCCACCGTCCAAATTCCTGCCGAGTCCAAGTACATGAGCTGACGTCGAGCTAGGGCAGAGGAGAGACACCGACTTCACATCGAGACGGCTGACTTGGACTGCCTCGCCTTAAACCCGACCCGTCCGAACCGGCGGTCACGAACCAGTCTCGTTGCTCACTCACCTTTACGTACCTACTTTACCACGCCATACTCGACTTGCCTTGCGCAGTCTCCCGTCCGCTACTCACAACTCGACACCTCTTCTCACTCTCATCGCCTCAGTTTGAGTATCGGCGTCCGTCAAGTTAAGGTGCCCCTGCAAACCCAAGACTACCTGCGACCTTTTCGCTCGTACTTGTGCGACACTGCGCAGCAGCCGAGCCAAAGCGTTTGCTACCTCGAAAGGACAACAGCCGCGGCGTACATACACCTTTACCCACCACCGCATTATTACCCGTAGACAGCAAGGTAAGTCAAGTCAGCATCCGTGTTGCTTTCGCTCTGCTCTCGCCTGTTTTCTGCGACTCATTCCTGTCTATTCCTTGCCCCCCATCCCCGGTATTGTCATACCTCTTTGCCCACCATTCCCTCCCCAAGTCCTGGATCCCAGGTGTGTTGTCGCATCGCATCCCAGCAAACCCTCGCTGGTCCCTTCCCCTCTGCGAACCCCTGTCTCTGGGCCTTGATCACTCACGGCCAGTTCCATCTCACATTCCAGAGCAGTCGTGACGCAGGAGACCGCCTGGACACACTGGCTTGAGGATTTTGTGTGACGGGGAAAGCCAGAAAGTGAGAGAGACAGAGAGGGAGCGCGGCGCCCCATTTCCCCTCACCCCACCCCCAAGTACTGCGACTGCGACCCTACCCACCTAGGTTCCCGAAGGTACCTTAGGTACCTTACCCTGCCTTGCCTTGCTGTATACACAGAGTACGGGCGAGGTCAAGGTACCCGACCTCAGCACCCCTCGCTCGCTCACTCGCTAGGTCACTCGCCCGCCTGCCCGCCCCTCTCTGCCTCGGCGACGGTGTCCCGCAAACCACCTCATCCATTGCTTGACACTACCTACCTACACACGATCCAACCCAAAAAGTGCCAACTAACTATTCGCCAGACCAGACCAACCCAGCCCCGAGGCAGCTACACCAACACACCTTACCTACACATACTACCTACCTACCTGACCTACCTAAGGTACCTACGTACAAACCCTCGGGTCCCCGACACCGCACTTCCGTCGCAACCACTTCCAGCCAACTTTCCCTCCTTCTCCCTTCGTCTGTCTCACTCTCTCTCTCAGGTGCAACAACCAAACGCCGTCTCTTCTTATTTGTTCTGTTTCACCAGCGAAACAAGCGGCGATCACCTTTTTTAACATCTTGACGCCCGTTGCGACTGACCGACAGGCAGTGACCAACATCTCCCTCGCCTCGATCTGACTCTCCGTCTCTCTCCCTAGCGCCCACACTCGCACTGTCTTCTCTCACCCGCCTTCTCGACTGTCACCTAGCTGGAAATCGCTCGCGCACCCTACCAGGTCTGCTCTATTTAGGCCGCCGTCCCCGCATCTTTTGCAACGCTTCGCTGAATCACCGTGTGACAAGAAGCGACTGTCGACTGCAAATACAGTACGTTTTCAACCGTTTTACTTCTACCCAGTCGGTGAGTCAG